TGGGCAGCCACGCCCTCCTCCCAGAGTGTCCTGCGCAAGGTGCAGGCCCTTTGAACACATGTGTCCTGTTTGGCTTGCGGATGCGTGGCCAGTGCGATTCCAATGCCAACATGGAGGGGGAGACATTGCCTTTCTTCAAACTCCTGAGGGTTCCCTAGAGGGACACCGGTGTCGGCGGCTCTCAACTTGTCTTGAAAGTCTAGACATGCAATAGCACCAGCTTCGTGCAGTCTTCCAAACAATTTGAGGCTACCTCGGCCAACCTCCCCTTCCCAGACCAATGGTTCGAACTCCGCATCAGCTTTATGCCCAGCCTTTGGTGTGTGTTCCAACCCTTCGAGCTGGTGACACGCCTCCTCGGCGAGGGTCGGGTGACCTTGTTCGGCGGCCTCCTCAAGAATGGTCGGCAGGTCGACGTCCTGCTGTGCATCCTCTGCTGCCATGAGCCTAGCGATGACATGGGATCGTAGATAGTCTGAGGGGTCTTTGAGAGCCTGCAGTACGCCACTGGCCTCCAGGGTTTTCCACCTTTGGATTCGTGATCTCTCTTCATCAGAGAGCGCTTCCTCATCCCTGGGATCGGAGCAGAGGGGTTCCCTTCTGGGGACTTCCAGCCAGCCCGGATCGGGCCCTTTCACAGCTTCTTCAAGATCCGCCTCAAGTTGGGTCAGCGGGACTCGGTAATCCTCTGGGACCTCCCAATCGGGCTCACCCGCCTTGTCTTCATCATCGCCGCCTCCTTCCGGTTCATGGCCAGCCTTAGCTTTGGATTTTGGCTTACCCCTTCCTTTGGCTTTTGGGGTTGGCTGCATTTTCTCGGCTTTCTCAGCCGCTGCCTGGGCTCTCAGTTGTGCGACCCTCCCATCGACTTCCTTGGGATCGATTTTGGGTCCCCCTTTCAAGCCGCCTCTCCTAATGACTTGCATGGCAACTGTATAGTCTAGCTTTCCAAGTCCTGGCAACGGCTCATGGGCGTGCTGACACTTGGAGCCTCGGCTACACCCCATGTGGGTCGCTGCATCCCAGCAGATTGGCTTTCCCGACTTTGAGTCCTTGGGTGCATGTTCAACTGACCGGGATGCCTCAGACTGGAGCAGTCTCTTCCCCGCTGGATAAGCGGACTTGTTTCCAGAAGGGAGGGCTCCCCCCGAAGCGGGCGGAACATCTTTGAGGACGAGCTTTGGTGCCTTCCCGGGTTTATCATCATCCCCCCCTTCGACGGACTCTGCACCTCCGGCAATTTTGCGGGTGTTCTTCAGGTTCTGATCATGAAGCTGCTTATGGAGGAGTCTTGACATCTGCCTCTGTTGCCTAGGAATGACCACTGTCTGGTAGTAACCGGCTGGGTCGGCCAAGTCCCAAATCCTGGGGAATTGAAAGTTGGCTTGACCGTCCGCTCCTGGGGCAAGGGCAAGCAATTTGAGGTCTTCCAGCCTGGGATTCTCCGTTCCGCAAATTGAGCACAGCTTCCTGCGACTTTCTCGCAAGTCCTCCCCCCAAGCCGCTACCAATTCCTCGTAGAGTTCGATGCAGTAAGCGGCTGGGAAGGCATGTTCATCTTCTTCATGGGCTTCTTTGAGGGCGGTAAGGCATTCCATCCTCTCCGCGACATGCTCGGTTCCGTAACATGATCCGAAGACCCTGATGGAATTTTCGGCATACCGGAGCCAGGTGTTGAAAACCCCAGGTGGTTTCACTCGACCCTCAATTTTGTTGTCGCTGGGGGGGTGCCAGTTGTCCAGCTGCTCGGAGCGAGCTGTAACACAATCACTGGCGTGTACCGTGTATGGCTCCACTCCTCCCCACCAGAAACCTGCAATGCCCAGCATGAGACGATTTGTCATAAGGACCGGCCATTTGATAAGATGCAACATGTGACGAGAATGCATAGCGATGCGTTTGCAGGCATGGTAAAGTTCCTTGCCATAGACTCCGGGGGCTATCTCCACCGTCAGGGTCCCGCATCCTCTGGCGAGGAAAACATCCATCTTTTCGGCTTCCCGAACTGAGGTCAGCGATCCTTTTGTGAGGTTCTTCTCTTCGTCCTGTGCTTTGCGCAAGCCATCAATGGCATGGATAATCCTATCAGCGTTCTGAACTTGGGTGGCTTCTCCTAGACTCTCCCCGAAGGTAGCTCCTGCTCTTTCTTCCCCAAACTGGTGGCCTCCCACTGCCGGCTTTACCAAGCCTTTGGAGCCGCTTGACCTCTTTGGAAAAAGGGATATCCCTCCCCCTCCTTGCCCCGGCATGGTAGCCCCCAGCAGGGGGTTTGGGACTCTCTTGGATCCTGGGATAACGAGGGCATGGCCCGAGGCGGGTTCACTTGGAGCAGGGGCAGGAATTTGTGGGGTCGTCACTTTGAACGGCCCTTCCAACCCTGGTGGGGTATGTGATGGGGCCGGAGCAGCAGGTCGAATGGCACTTTCTAATGGCTTCTTTGGGATCCCGAACTGCTGCATGAGGGTGGTCGGATCGACCTCGAAAGCAGTGGCTACCGTTTGCACTGTTTCAGCGCTCAAATCTCCTGGTGAGTGTGCTAACAATGTGTCTCGTGCTGCATTGAGACGCGCTCCGGTATCCACTTCATCATCAACTGGGAAAGGGGGAATGTCAGGTAAATCCTCCCCTGCACCATCTCCTACAGCTGTCGGTCTCGGAGGTGTCATGAACTCCTTCTTCTTGTGTTGATGTGTGACAACATAAGCTTCAGCATGAGGGAGAACCTCCTGTTGAAGATGACTGCAAATCCATGTCTTGCCTGATTGGAACGAGGGAGACTCGCCATCAGTCACCTGGCCGTCCCATGCTTGGAGCAAGAGAGCTTGCTCTTCAGTGACCTGACTACACAGGAATGAAATCCCTTTCCCGACGGACTCTTCATGGGAGGCTTGAAGGAAGTCATCAATCCATTCCCTACAAATCCGTCCGTGTCCGTCGTCCCTGGGGGGGGGGCGCAACTGCGAGAGGTGGACCACCCCTTGAACTTTGAGGGCAGGGATGTCAATTTCAACCTTCTCCTGAGCTCGGCTAGATGTAGCGACCCCAGTAACCCGCCCCAAAAACGCGACCCATCTGGGCAGACTTTCCCCGTTCTGGAGGGACTTGAATCTGATTAGTGAGATACATGGGCCTTGAAGAAGCCTGCCTTCCGCTTGATGCTGGAACTGAGATTGGGGCCCTGCTGAGGAAGCGCGTGCCTTGGGCTGGCTAGTGGCAGCTCTACGCTTGGGGCGGCTACTGCGGGCTTGAGGAGAGACCCCCCGTTGATCCTCAAAGTGACCTTCGACTCCTGAGGATGGTTCTTCTGCTTCTGGATTGCTCCCGTCGCTCTCCCAGGTAACCTTGCGTTTGCTGCGCACCGAGCTACCAACATCCATCAGGTGATGCTTGCATAGGGGGACCCCTTGTTTGGCTCCATCGTGTGATTCATAACATGAGAGCACGCTGCACTTGCGTCCGGAACATGCTGCCACATACAACTGTCGGTGGTGATCACACAAGCGGACCGCTTGCCTGCCCTTGACATCAGAAAGACCCTTGTCACATTCAAGGAGTCGGACCGACTCCCCAGCTGCTTGATCCCGACATGGTTCATTGGCTAAGGCTCGCGGCTTGCCACCATGGGTCAATCCAACTAGGACGGCCTCGCAAGGATCTTCCAGGACCTCAGCTTCAGATTCCGACTCAGGGTCAAGGGGACGGAGACCTCCATGATCCTGAATGGTACGGGCTGGTTGAGGGGTATCCATCAGATATCGAAGGAGCGTCCACCCAGAGAGTACCCCGACCATCTTCCAGACGGATCGTCCGACACTTCTGAAACATCTGGTAAAGAGCACCATCAGTCGCCTGGTGGACCACCCGGCGTACGCTCCCAAATCTACCACGCTGTTGGCATCCACCACTGCGTAGGTTTTGCAGTGTATACCCGGTGTAGGGTGGTTCTCAAGACTACATTGCATTTCCCGGCAAAGGTGGACTTTACTCTCTCCTTCCAAAACCTGCCTCAGATTTCGATGGGAAACACCTCGAACTTCTCTCAGCCGGACCCAAAGCCCATTCCGATCAACGCGTGCCCAGTGGTCGCAATCGGGTTTGACCCTCGCTGCCTGGCCATTGAGCAGAAGCACCACATCGTTGGGCTTTCTCTCAGTCTCTCAGTCCCTCGACCCTTGACTCCTTTTTGTAGGAAGTCATTATCAACACTTTCCCTGGAGCCGGGGCCTCGGATGGCTAAGGATTCGTAAGTGTGGGTTGCCTGCAACTCAGGCAGAAGATCACTTACCTCCCGTGCAACAGCTTGAGTATGACGGGTGCAGCAATCAAAGAGTAGCCGGATCGGCCGGAAGACCCAAGTCAACGCATAGATTACCCCAATGGTCAAAACTGTAATCAGCGCTAGTAGGGTTCCCCAGGCAATCCATGGCCAAAATTCTCCGCAGGTAGCGAGTCCAAATCGATCAAGAAAGTAAAGCCCCCAGCCCCCGGAGGAGCTAAGACTTCCCTTCTGTTGTGGGGTGCTAAGCCATGCTGGTCCCATCCAGGACCTGATGTCAAAATGGAAAACTGAGTGACCCCACACATGAGCGAAAGTGCTCGCATCTCCTGCGTGAGGAGCGGAACGCTCACCTTCCTCAGGGGCCATCCTGGGAGGGGCGGTCTCGCCCACGGTTGCGTCTGGGAAAATCTCCTCCACCTCATCCGAGGAGTTGGAAGAAAACCACCAGACCCAATCAGCCGGGGGGCCTTGAACAAGCTCCAGGGTCAATGCGAGGCCCAGCACCGATAGCCATGGCCCACCTAACATTGTGACACCTGTCCTATTCAAAGCAGTCCCTAGGCTGCAATCACTTGAGCCAGTGAAAGCAGCAACCCAAGCTAACCCTACGTTCTGGCGAACACACGATATTTACACAGAGAGAGAGAGAGAGAGATGTGTGTGTGTGTGCGCGTGTAAATTGGAATCACGGGAAATGCACTGTCAAAAGCGCGCAACATGCCTGCGATGCCAGCTCCAACGATGACACAGTCCACTTGGTTAGGAATCGATCCCTCCAGTGGCCCGATGTCAGGAAAAACCTCTTCATTCCACCTGCAGAAGTCTTGGCATGTCCTCAGTAACCGGCCAGTCTCTTTCGCACATGCCACACTTCCGCTTCAGAATGACCTTGCAATCAAGACGCTTGGAGATCATACTAAGTAGCATGGGTTCAGGTTTCGTTGAGGGCCCAAAGCCCTCCAAATACCAATCATGCTCCTTGGTTGATGAAGCGTGGAGTATAGAAAATGTTTCACCAAACTGTTCTGCGCATGCAGGAGTTTGCTGACACAGTGACTGACCAATTGAACCTATGTGCAGGCAGGCAGCCAGGTCCAAAGTTCCACTCAAATCCTCAATTCTGAAGTCTTGCCCGTACTCCGCCCATGCCTCGCGAGCCACATCAGGGGCTATTGGGCAATGAAGCTCTGGCCTGGTCTGGCCTTCATGGCCGTGGGATCAGCTAGGGCCGACCCATGACAGCATGCTATGATTGGCACCAGGACTTTCCGACTGTGGTGGGCGAACCTCGGGGGCAAGGTTTGAAACGACTGCTAGTGACTAGCGACTAGCGCTTCCCTCCAAGCCTAACACTGATCAGTTTTTTTCATGCAGGTTTCAAAGCACTTGGGGCATTGCTTGTACGACCGCATTGTGGAGACCACCTGTGCCAAAACGATCGACATGCTTTTGAATCATGAACATCCAGTGTCTGCTACTCTACCTCCTGAATACTTCTCTGCTCTGCATCCGTATAGGCGGCCACCCGCTCTGCCCAATTTTCAGCCGTATACCTCGTGTCTGCTCCCAGGCTGGTCATGCTGCTGGAATTCACAGGCTACATAAGCTCCACACGGCCGATATGTTGTGGAAAAAATATGCGGCGCAGGGCAATCAGAGACAACCTCAATCAAAAGTACTGCGACAACTGTCTCAAACTGGCGATCTCTTGGATTTGGATGCTTTGATAAATTCGAGGCACGAGAGCAACTGGCAAATTAGGAGATTGAATTTGCCTTGTTTCCTGAGTGCAGCGATGTAGTATTGGCATGCACTCACATGAGGAAAGGTGGACTGAAACAGCAATGACCCTCCGCGTTTTCCCCGCTTGGTGAATTGGTTTCTTTTGGCTGGCGCCTTCAATGTAAACATGCCCACGTAAGGGTCACCTGTTGGTACGATTTCCAGATTCTGCTTGGTTGTTCATCTGACCAGCGCATCCAAACGTCGATGATCTTCAACAGCTCGTATGCCACTAAGGCGCCTGCGCCTGCACCAGGGGCCCGCACCCATCACATGTGCAGGACACCCAATCCCGATGCCGCATTCAGATCGTTTAGCGAAACTCTCGACACATATCGCAGTTGCCCGGTGGTCATGGAACCCCCGACGAACATCATTCTCTTGTGGCTTTTCTGAGAAGGTCCTCGTCGCTATAATAAGCTATCGAAGCCTCTCCACAACGAGCTCATCAACGAACTCATAACTCATGACATGCACAGGTTTGTTCAGCGTTGCCGCGTTATAACAAAGCACCACAACGGGCCCAACTAATGCAGTTGCAGAACATCAAAAGAAAAGTGTGAGAAAAATAAACTATAGTAGGAACAATAAGCTACTAGGAACAAGTGCATCGCTTCTAGTAACAAATGCCTTACTAGTGGTAGCAAGAAGCTATTAGAAACAATAATTAGTAATTAGATGTAATTAGAATCAAGGCTGCACAAGGCTCCAAAAGTCTGGAGGATTGGTCGTTCGAAAACTCACTTTGACTTAGGGCAGTGGACTCTCCAGGCACCTCCACGGCTTGAGCCAATGGAACTGTGTTGAGTTGTAACACCCAAGCTGTGCTTAATTGATCCTCTCTGTCTGGACGGCCTTGACCAAACCACACGGTGTTGACCCCATCCCCAAAGGCAAGCACCTGTCCAGGCTGAGGTCGTGAAGTGACTGCATTCAGTGCTAGGAATTTAGCACCTTATTGAGGACGTCTTCTATCATGATGCTGAAGTCCGACCATCCCTGCCAGCAAACCTGCGCACAGGTTCATGCGGATACGGTGTGCTTTGACGATCAAGCTTTCCTAATGAAGTGAGCACAAAGATTGGTGGCGTAAATGCCCATGTCCGTTTCCAAAGGTTCCGGCACCACCCAAACTCATCAAGAGTATCAAGTTCAACACCTGTCAGTCGGCACCGGGCACCAGGCCACTGAGAGATCTACACAGTCTTCTGGCTCCAAATAGCTCCACAAGTCCTGACGGAAAGCAAGGCGAGTCTGCCTTTGGCAAAACCAGAGCCTTGGTGAAGACGAAACGACATGGCTCTCCTTGCTTCCAAGTGGCTACATCAAAAGACTGGTCTGTCCCGAATTCCGGGGCGAAAAGAAGAACGCGATGCTCAGGAGGAAAGATCGGTGGTACACACACCTGGGTGACGACCTCGATTGCAACACTTCTGGTCTGCCTTATGCTCATTATACTCCTTGCTTGGCTAAAGTCCAACCAAATTACAGTATCTGAAAGTGGCACGGACAGCCTTGCAGGCTGAGACACTGGACAATTTATCTCTCTTCGCAGGACCCTGAGAGGTTGCTACAGCTGTCACGGTGAAGGGCTCGGCGTGCATCAACTTGCCATGAAAACTGAACTCCGTCCTGGCTGGTGGCCGCAAGCCACCCACCCAGTGACCTTCGATCTGCATCATACGTTCGGAGGCTTCGCCTCAAACACACAAAGACTGCTGCCAACCAATAAATATATATATATAGTTTTTTATGTGTCAACAATATAACTACACAATTGAAGCGTGCACACTTCAGCTCGGTTGCGAAACGGATAAGGAAAGGCCTGCAATTGAACGCAAAGCTTCTTGGATACTCCAGTCACATAGTTACAGTTGACTACTTTAACAAGTGAAACATCAAAGTCTTGCATGGTCTCTTCCCGCAAGACTTTGAAAGCCCCGGGTCTGACAAGTTTGAAGCCAAGAAACTTCATCGACATGAATACAAAAGCACAAAAGTGAACAGGCGAAATGCAATACTACCAAGGCAGGCTGTGATGCAAAATGAGGTTGCTTCGCGCCTTATCCCGGTTGGTGGCCCACGGTCGAGATCGACAGAGTCGGTCCAAAGCATACCTCATGATATCAAAACACAAACGGGCCAGAGGAGGAACAAGAAAGAAAATGAAAACAGTGGAATCTCCAGCGCGCCATTCTCGCTCGTTCTCGTCTAGCCATCTGTCTGCAGTGAAGCGATCACTACACCATTGCCTGTCCAATGATGAACAACCGCAACGCTTCTCAAGCTCTTTCACGAGGCAGCCTCATCCTGTCAGAGGTCTCCCTGATGTTGTAGTCGCGCCTTGGTAGCGACGACAAACAACATGAGGATGCGATTGGAGTAGTATGAGTAGTATGCATTCTGCAGACACATAACGTTTGAGTCTAGGTACTGAATGAGGGCCTTGATTGCACGGACTTCATCAGGCTCGCCTTTGAAAGCAGGAAAGGAAATTGCTTTTGAACCCAAAACGTTGACGACTGACCTGAATTTTCAGATGTCTTTTCGTATCTCTTCTCTTTGTGTCTTTGCAGGGTCTTGTTCCCTCTCAATTCTTAGGGCACCTTCAGACGCCATTAGGCCAAAGCGCGGACAACAAAAGTTTGAGCTCGGCCAGGCGACAACTGCATTGAATCACTATAGATTGAGAGGGGATGATGACATGGCATGGCATGCAATATGTTGCAGCACAATCAACTTCTGAATACGACAACATTTACTGGAGTCCTCAATGTCAAGCTTCCACTTTTCCTTGTCCCACCCAGAGGTAGGATCTGCAGTGAGATGCCAAGGAGCACCCATCTGTCCAAATAGAAGCGCTATGCAAAGGATGACCTGGGCTCAGTGATGTCAAGCTTACACGGGCACCAGTGCTGGCCAAGCTGCGAGGAACACTCCATCCACGATCAAGCCTCATGGCTCAGAGGAGAAAACATCCGTGGTTCGTCCAGGGACTTGACATCTCCTTGGCATAGTGTCTTTCTCCACTAGCTCAGACTTGTGCGGAGCCAGTGCTGGGATTCAATAGCGCCCTCGCGAAGATCTTCAGAACAAGCCTCAATCCGAGGGCACTGTGTCACATCAGTGTACAGTATATTATAGTACTATACTTTACGGGACCTGGTCTTTCCACACACCAACATACCTTGCACATCCTCTGTGGGCCCAATGGGAGAAGTCATCCAGTTCACCACACGATGCCGTCGCTGCAGGCCTTGTAGAGACCCTGCCGCAAAACTCTGATTGTTTGAGCAAGCACACCTCTCCCACACATGGCGCATGCTCCTGCAAGAACTTGATCTTCACTGGCCAATTGTACGGGTTAAAGGGTGAATAGACCTGAGCCGCAGCTGCCAATTTCCTGGTATGCCAAAAGTTATATAGCTAGTTATACGGCTATACGGCTACACGTGTTTGTGTGCTTTCCCTCCTCGAAAGCTCACCTTTTTGTGGACCACTGCTTTCCAAAATCCACAACCCCAGCTAGCAGCTAGAGCTTGCAACTACAGGAGCTTGCAGAAAGTGTTGTCTTGCTAGTCTGCTTGCTCGCTCATACTTTGCTCCAGTGCCCCTTTCGTTTACACGATGTAATGTGGCTTCAGCTCTGTTCCCACATACCACTTGCATGATGGCTTGGCTCGTAAAAAGTGCAACCTTGAGTTTGCGGTCATGCCCCTCTCAATTCCCACAGACCCTATGCCCCATGGTCTTTCTCCATAAAGCAGTGGCATGTCACTTGCGCAACGTTTAGTGCACAGGAACAGTCCAAAGTGCTTCGCATACACAAGGCGGCTGATGGGGTTTGGCCATGGTTAAGTGGCTGCATTTCACGGCACGGCGAAAGCCACTAAATGCGGGCCCTGCCCGTCAACAATGCAAATCGCAAGCAAAACAGACTGCACAGAGTAAACATATACAGTATGATATATGAATGTGTGATTGCAAGGTGTGATCCAGCTTGTTGGCATGCTGTCACAACTTAGACTTTTTTGATATCACGTGGCGTGTCCCGCATGCGGCTGTTGCTCTGCCTTTTCATGTGCAGATGATGGGCACCTGTCTGGAAAGGTAGGTGGGGTAGGAGATGTCATATGCGCAAATATGCGCAAATCATCCATTGACAAAATGAGCATCTCTCTCTCTATGCATTGTTGTTGTGTTGGGGCGTTGCGGCCTTGCCGAGTGCTGTCGCGCATTCACTCAGGTTGGTTTTGTGTTGCTCTGACTCAAGCATCTACCTGTCACTAGGATTCGGGCATGCAGCTCGTAGGGGATCAGGAACAATGCAAACACCAGGCAAAGGATCGCAACCAAAGCCTGCAGCTCTGATCTCTCCGAAACCACTGATGAGGTGACTCCCAAGTGCATGGCACAAACACTACCAAACGAGATGATCTCCGACTCGTCCACTGCATCTGTCACCTGCACTTGAGACAAAGCAAGAAGAGCAGCTCAATACCATCCATGCTTCACCCACTTCATGCTAATACACTAAGTTCTTTGCCATCCACTTGGCCACTGACCAGGTTGATGTCTGATGAAGGCCTGAGCAAAATCCAAGCACAATATAGTCATGGGCAGAACAAAGTCTGAGCTCTGGTCTGAATGTAAATGTTGAGGCCGGGATTAACTAGAGCACTGCATGTTAAGTTCCAGGCACGGCATCAACTCTGGCAAAGATGCAGGAACCTTTGATTAGAAGAGTGAAGCAAGCAAGGCCACATGCATGGGACTGAAAGCATTTGGTGCCAGTATGGAAGCTCTCAGATGCATACCCAAAGTGCAACTCCGGCAAGCTGAAATACTGCAGCCCACACGACCTTCGCATGATTCCAAAGAGCAAAGGGGAAAGAAAATGTGCTGCAGTTGAGCGTTCGTGCCAAGACAGCTCTGCTCTGAAAGGAACACCCTGAAAACAGGCTGTGATCAATCACAGATCAGCATTGGCAACACCTATGTTTCCAAGGTCAAAGGCCCTCCAAAAGTTGAGGTGGCCAAAATTGTACCTGCAAGGGCTCGGGCTTTGAAATGATTCCGAGTCTGCTTGAGAGGACTCTTCAGCGCACCAGCCAGCATTTCGCATGAGAAATTCTGCAGTGTCACCTGCACCCGGCACAATGCTGTCAGCAGCAAAAGAAAGCTGAGAATCTGAGAGCCAAACATACACTTTGGCCAAACTCCTTGCAGCACATGATTTGGTTGAACGTGCCATTTTGTGTGCCTGCTCTGGTGTCCCTTTGTCTTCGCCTTCTGTTGCTCCTTTCTGTCACAGATTGTTTGTTATCCTTCTTTTCGTTATCTTTCCGTTTCTCTTGTTTCCAATATGTGGTACAATATGTATGTATATATGTATATACAAGTAAGAAGTCTGGAGCCCGTAGGTAAGATACTGTCTGCTTGCCAGGACCAGCACCAGTCCTGCTTGGCTCTGTTCACCGTCACTGTATGACCGTCCGGTGAAGCCTGTTTCCACATTAGAGTGCATGAAGCATCTGCAACTTCTCCAACCCTTTGCTTGCACAAAAGCCTTCAGCCACCGGCACAATCTACAGCTTGGGGTCACTCAACCAAAACTCAAACTAAGAAATGTAAGGGTTGCTCAGCAATGATCCAGAATCTAGGTGGAAGATGCACTGCATGCTTTGACAGACACCATGGCCGTCCTCCGTCTCGTTCAAAGGGTCAGTCTCGCCTGCTCCACCTCAAGTTGATCACAACAAACTCTGATGACACACTGAGTGTGCCCTGTGCACTATGCAGGCGCTATGCCGCTATGCCATGCATCAATGCCATCCATCAGCAAGCAGGTGGTGGGCCGAGGGCGTAGCTCGACTGCGGCCTTCAAGGGACAAGCGACAGTACCCTCCCAAAATCTCGCCAGGCCCACGGCATGTTGCCCAAGCCTCTGCAATTGGAACGCCTGAACTTACACCGAAAAGAAAGAAGTGAAGCTCGTGTGCCCACTGGGGTGGGAGGTGGCTGGCTTTGCTGAGGTTGACGCGAGGGCATTTGCCTGTGCTTTCAGTTGCCGCACCTGGCTAAGCCATTGCAAGTTTAAAGACTGCATATGCTGCCGTGGTTACCACCAGTAACTTCAACCCATTGCATTACCCTAGACCAAGGAGTTGTAGAGTTCCGCTGTTGGAAAGCCAGGTGAAACCCAAAGGATTGTTGATTCAACTTCGCTGGGTGCGATTCTCAGTCACATCCAGAGCACTTAACCTTGCTCCAGGCTGTCCAAGCCTTCTGACTCCAGATCCATGGCTTGCAAAGGCCTCAAGCACTGCAAAAGCATAGCTGCAAACTCCAAATGCCTCCCCTTCATCAGCATTCAATGCGAAGTATCCAAGTTCTTGGCGAAGAAGCGAGTCCTTGGCTCCACCATGCGAAGCCAATCACACTGCATAGCTTGCCCCGAATTGGGCATAGAACTTCCGAGGCCTAGAGGCCCTTGAGTACCCCATTCATAGACCCTACCCCAGGTCGACTATACCGACTATACCCCTATATGCTGGAGTTCTGTATGCACAATTGACACGAATTTCAACATCCACAGCTCCTAACTCTTGCTGAAGCTACCCTGGCTCAATACCATATTACGATATCGCCCTCTCACGCAAAGCCCCGCCCCAAGTTGTAGCCCTTCAAGTTATGCTCCACAAAAACACTCCAAAACCTACTCCTGTGGTTTCCAAACAGTCCGTGTAGAAACCAAAGGCATCCGGCTTGTTTAGCCTAAAATGTCTTGCATACAGTTTATCGAAATAAAGATTAATAAAAAACATCTACGTGCGACATGGGCTTCTCCCTGGGCGTCCCTGCAAAGCCGCATAAATTTTTCCCAGGGAAGTCTTGCACACTGCGAAGCTTGAAGAGCTCACCTGAGAACGTCTCTGCAAAATAGAAATTTATATGTTTTTGCCCGCTCCCCCTCCCTAAGTAAGGAACTGAGGTAGCTACTAGCTACTAAGACGCTACTACCTAGGACGCAGGATAGCTCACGCTTCTTCAAGGAGCGCTCGCACTGATGATTTGGTTCCTGGACTTTTAGGGAGACTTAACTCCTTCTTCTTCTTCTTCTTCTTCTTCTTCTTTGCACCAATTCTCACCCTTAGGGGGGATTTGTTCAAGCCGATTAGACAGAGTTGCAACTTTACTAAGGCCCCAACCAATGCCGAAAAGGACGGCTCCACACATGAACAGCCTCGACAGTTCATCTTCATCCAGTCTGCTTTAATTTAGATTCTTTCCAAAAACACTGCTCACATGATCTTGGGTCACAACAGCAGGTTGCGCATGCCAAAGAACTCCTGATCCACCCTGCCAGCACTGGCAACAAGCAACAAGGCAAACTGAGCCACACGAGCACAGGTAGGAATCTTCCAGGCCAGAGTGACACCAGTACATCATCCCGCTCCCTACAAAAAGCTTTGGCTCATCTTTGGAACGGCACCCACATTCACAGCCCACTAAGGCCCTCACATGGCAAGGCACCTTGGAGACACAGGCAAAATAACAGCACCATGCACCAAGGCTCGAAGACTGGAATCCTTCGAAAACCTTGCCTGCTCAAATCAGAATTCTTGTCGTCAAGCGCTCCTGCTTGCCTGACATTGACGCGAGGAGGAGATGCACTGTTCGCGCATTGGAATCTCAATGAATCACCCACGCTGTGTCAAACTCAAAGCCCATATCTTTGCCGTGATCTGCTTCTAATGTCCGGTGAAGGGATGCCAAGGTCTTTGGGCTTGGCATACGCAGATTGGTTCTGTGATCGCGTAGCAGTTTAGCAGTGTAGCACTGCTGCAGAGAGGTGATGGAGTGGCAAAAATCTGTTTGCAATGCGACGCGCATGGGGCATGAAGACACTCGCAGGGACATCCGGTGGTGAGGTGGCGGCACAGGTTGAGATGGACGGGGTGAACATGGGTATATAGAGCCTGATGATGAGCGACCGCTAGCAAAGTTAATGAGGTAATGGCATAGCATTCTGCACTGGGTGAACCGGACACGATGCTGCCTGCTGGGTGATGACATTGGTGAGGTGCTCTGGTCTCTTTTTTTTAAACTATATATATATAATATGTATAATGCGATGGTCAATGGTCTAGTGAACTTGGATAGATGCAGGTGGTAAGGTGGGTCGCACGCAGCAGGGTAGGCACAAAACGTCTGCCTTCTGCCCTGTGCTGGTTGAACAGCAGTGTGAGGTGTGGGCATTACAGTATAGCTTTCTCAGGCCCCCGCGCTAGAACTACTGTGCGGCTCTGGAGTTGTTCTCCAGATTGGACTGCCAAAGCCTGATGCGCAAGTACACACAGCTCATGCTGATGCATCCGGTTTGACTGAGCATTTTGCTTCGGAATCGCTCATGTGGCGGCTGAAGCTCATGAGAAGCAGCCTCACATTCAGCTCACTCACACAGAAGCAACTCTTTTTTGCTGGGCTGCCAACACAGCAGCCGCAAAGGAACCCAGCAAGCCATGCCACACCTTTGAGCAAAGAAACATTGTGGATTTAGAGCATCACATCATGGACACCACTTGGTCGCAAGCGGCAACAAACTGCTCCAGAGATCCATAGAAACCTTTTAAAGGCTGGTGATGGTGGTGAACACGCGTGTGCACACGCACAGAGACAAACAGACACTCACAACGCTCTCTAACAAACCTGATGCTTTCAAAAGTATATAACTATGGTAAGTTCCAACCTTCTCGTTCTGATTCGGGAACTGCTCCAGTGACCCTGAATATATATTAGAGTTCAAAATTGCTGGAAACACTCACTTCACTCAGCCAACGACACTCGTGGTAAGGCATGCCTCAGCAAACTTTTTGTCATGCGACATGACCAAGGCCAGTAGTGCAACATTGCCTTTGGAACTGAGTTTGGGACTTCCCCTCCTGCTTTGAGCTGCGCAAATGTGCCAAAAAACATTTACAAAAAAGAATACAGTATGCAGAATCACCGTAGAATCACCGAAATTCACCAGGGGAAAGAATGCGCACAAGCTATACTATAAACGCTTTTTGGGGCGAGCACAATTTCCCAACCTGCCGAAGCACGCGGAACAAAGGCCAGCGTGCACTCTGTACAAAGCGTGGCACAGTGTGGTGCAAAAGCCAGCTGCACGGCTTTGTCCCCTGTCTCCTCCCGCGAGAGAGGGACATCTTGGCAAATCTGGTGATCTGCGTCGCACTCCGTGCGCAACTTGAAGTGTCTTGTGTTGTGACGCCAATTACATGTTCATAATTCATAGTGGGATTTCGCTGATAGTGTCCAGCTGCGAAGTGTTACATTGAAGCATACAGACACGTTCCCTGTCAATGTCATGTATATAAGTCTAAGTCTGCTTATTGCTTCAGACCCACCACACGCAAACCACGAACCTGGCTGAAAAACCAGTCAACTTCATCAGCTGCAAATGACTGGTTTAAATACCCAGTTCTGATGGAGTTGACGGTCACAAAGGAGCAGAGGGGCTTCGAGGGTACTATATACAGGCCCGCCGTCACCCACCAAGCCGTCAAAGAAAGCATGAGCTGTCAAGAGTTCAAATCCAGAATCAAGTAGGATCAGCACATTTGTTCGATAGAATGCCTGAAATGTCAAGTAGGCTCAAGTTTTGCTCAGCACATGCCCACGAATTGGCGAGCAAATAACAACCCCCCGCGCAAGTGCAGAACAAAGGAAAATGCGGCCTGCGCGAAGGTTCCACAGCCTCTGGCAGCGTTGCAACATTGTTGCATCTCTTGGCAGGCTCTATTGTGGTGAACTTTTTGAATAGGGGCGCCAAAGAAATGCATTAACACAAGTGTGCGTTCTGACTGCCCTAATTGCCTAGGTCCTTGACCCAACTGGCTTGACATATACAAACTAGTAACTAGTACAAATGCAGAAAAGCAACAAAATAGAAACGGACTACTATTAGATATACGGAGAGAGAGAGAGAGAGACCCCTTCAATGAAGCAGTACTAGCACACGAAAAAATGTCGGACGTCCATCACCCGGTCCCAGCGCGTGTTGTTCCACACATGGGATTCAAACCACAACCAGTCCGATCAGACAGAAGTGTGGGCTCGCAAACGCAAGCAATGTTGTGTCAGTGGCTTGTCCAGGAAAGTTTGTGTGGATGAATTTGTCCATCTCCATCTCCCTCTCTATCTCTCACTGCCCCTCCCTCCTTCCCTGCCTGCATCCCTGCCTCCCTGCCTCCCCCGCCTGCCTCGGACTTGCTCAGGCTCAGGAACATTTCGCAGGCAATGCCATCCCTCAAACCATCTTCAATGGTCCCCGTCCCATTCACCAAACCTGAATTGCCTAGTGATACATCATTGTAACATGCCTTCGCCCGCGCAACACGTGCATTCACACAGCCAAAACCAACTGCCAGCCCAGCGAACCGGCAATGCAAAACAAAAGGGTTCTAGCGGAATGACAACCTTTCCCCGTGTGTAGCTCTGTGGTGCACCAAAGGTAGCTGAGCTCTCTTCCACGATTTCTTCCAAACCTCCACCAGGGGCTGTTGCGAAGACAAGGTGACAAAAAAGTTGAGTTGTCCCAGGTCCCTTCGACTGGTTATATAATTTGCCTGCTCTCTAACCACCACTGTCAATTCACGGACCGTTGGGGCTTGCTCACGAATCTCACACGCAAATGCCCTTTCAAACAAGTAGGTGCTCTGTTGAGAGAGTGAGCAGGAGGAACAATTGGCTGAGCAAAAGAGGGAAGTAACATATTGTGTGTGTGTGTCAAGGTTGTTGTCATATATTGATGGTATGCTTACGGTATGCTACAGCTGTGCAAATAAATCTGATGTATATATAAACGTTGCTGCTGCCTAGGCTGCAATGGAATGCTTAAGCTCTTCGCTGGACGAGCGAAAAGGATATGGAATTGTGGAAGCAAACTCTTGGCGCAGGAGCCGCTAAAACTAAAACAATTAAAAATATCAAACAGAAACCATCAAAATTGCGACAACCCAAAGCCGGAAACAAAGTGGGGAAAGGCCCAAAAGGGGACGGAGTAACACAACACGTCACACAGGCTTCAGCCTTTTCCATATCCTTTCCCCAAGCATCTCTGTGCTTTCCAGCAAACTCACATGAAGCAACTCCTGCATCTTCATTACCACGCCCCGCATCTGTCAAAGGCTGGAGTGTACACAAAGGTGCATCTTCCATCAGGCAGCGAAATCCAAACCCACTGACATGAGTGCAACAAACTAGCGACACGTCGGGAAGAAGACACCCCAATATATATATATATATACTTTGTAGAAATCACTGTCCTGAAGCCGCCTGCACCTGGCAGAATTCGCCATCTCTTCACTTAGTGGATCTCATCCACCATGAAACTCCAACTGTTCTTTTGAGGCTCTTCTGATGCTGCAAGCTGGATTTGCTTTGATCTTGTGGTCGGGTATGGAACAACATGAACACACCAACAGCAAGAAACAAGTCTCTCGGGTTTTATCGATCGGAAACGTGCAACTCCAGCTGCAAGCGCTTCAACAAGGCCCGTGCTTGCATCTCTGTGCAGATTTATGGCATCGGCCCTAGTGGCTCTGGTGAGTGACCTGAATACCTGCAGTATTTGTCAAGCTGCTACCTGTAGGCACTAGGGCGCTGGCGATGCCAAAAATGTTGGGGTTGGTCACTGCAGTTGAATGTCAACTGTATGTCGACATGGCATGCCACAACAAAGCACCAGGAACCCCAGTAACACCAGCGCGATTCTCACGACACAAACGGCGAACTGTCCACAATTGAAGGAATGTTGAGACCAGAAAAAAAATCAACATGAATGTGAATTAGACTCTACTGTTTTCCTCCATGGCCACTTGCCCAATTTGAGTCTACTGTTTTCCTCCATGGCCACTTGCCCAATTTCACTTGAGCGGTGCGATTTGAAGCCTGCTGCTGACTCACGAAAGCGCCTGCAGGCATCAGGTGTCATGCCGAGCTTCATGTTGATGTCATCCCAGAGATGCGCAATCTCATCGTCACTCAAGAAACGTGTGCAGTGAAGCACCATATCAAGAACTCCAGCACGAGATGCCGCAAACCCAAACGTTGGTAGAATGCGTCGTTGCACTGTGAGGGCCAATTCTGCACGTCCCGTGAGATGATAATACCCATCGCATGCCTGTTCCACGTTTGCCTTTTTCTTCAGCTTCGCGACTGCATGCTGAAAGCTAGGAGTGCCTGCCCAAAGCTGCCAATGACCCACAAGCAGACTGCATACAATCAAACGCTTTGCTGAAAGCACACCTTTGGCAAAATGCTCAACAAATTCAAACAATGAAGAACAACTCCGATGCATTCGAGGTTCTAAAACCAGCCAGCTGCTTGCGCAACAGCTTTGCAACCTGCCAACTTGCGCAAAGAGATGACATCTCCGAACACAGACTTAAAACATCCCATGCCTATCAATCCCGTTGTGACAACATGTCGCGTTCTATGATCCATGTCGCGGCTGGAGGTGGCCGAGCAACGATGAATTTGGTTTTGGGCTTGACGCCGAGGACACCACTTATCGGAACCTGCCAGGGAGGTGCATTCGACCGACTGCCGAAAAGATTGCAAGAGGGCACATAACATAGATATACGATATACATATATATTTATTTATACACAGTACACATGCCAACAATCCAAAAGCTTTTTGAATCTGCAGGTCTGGACGGAACCTTCTTGCTCGACAATGCGCATGGTCCAGGGTTCTTCTCAAAGGTAAGCAGGGCTTCTTCAATTGCAAAGGCATTGACAAAAACATCTGGATCCTTGTCTAGGTCCAAGAAGTGAGCTTTGGACTGATCCACTTTAACCAACAGTTCGCGAACAAGCTCCACCTCCTTTATGTACATTATGCTTCATTTTTTGAGCCTCCAACCAAAATCTGCCTCCAAGCAACGTCTTGCAGCTTCTCAAGGGCATTGAACATGTCCTTCCGCACTTGACTTGCTTACTATTGAGCCTATTCTCAATATCTAGCCTTTTCAAATCTTTTCAACACACGTCCTCGACGCCTTGCTCAGAGATGTCAAAGCCATACCTTCAGCTTTGCGAGAGTATACGTGCACCAGTCAGCAAGTACAGGAGTAAGCTGGTTCTGAAATGACAGCTACGTAAACGCGATGATGCAATGAAGCGATGTTTATGACTCTAAGACTCTAAGGTCATCTTATAGGTCTGGCCTCGCAATTGTTTCCATGTTGTCATTGTCGAACAGCTTGTAGATCACATCCTTTGCACGTCCATTCTGGGAACATATTTTAGCAGCTCTTCCAATTGTAGGCGTATTTGTGGCTATCGTGTGCAAAAACATACGTCCTCAAACGTCAATGTCTTTGATTGCTTTCCAAGTAGCTTTGTGGTCTTTGAAGGTGTCGAGTGGCTGCCTCTGGCGGGACATCTCCCCAAGCTTTTTCTGAAAGCTTGGTGTTGACAGAATTGCCAGGAGCTCAGTCTGAAGAGCCAAAGCTCTTGGCTTCGACAGAGCCACTGGCTTAGCTGTGGCACCATCAGAATGAGCTTTGCTCGTTGTTTCTTCAGGTTTGGCATCTGCACTCTGTACTGGCCAATTCTTCAGCTTCAAGAATTCACCGATTTTCTGCACGCTGCTCATGCATTCCGGACAGCTCTTGAGGATCAATTCGAGCGGCTGGGTCAATGTTCCCATCCCATGCCCAGTGGCAAAGCCATACTGAGCGAGAATGTCGTTGTGGAACTTCTCAGCCCAAGCCCACCGGGAAGGCAATTCATCTGTGATAGGGGTTCCGTCCAACTCTTCCTTGGATAGAATATCCATGAGCTTCGTCTGGAACGTCTTGCCAGCATATGCACTCAGCAGCTCACGAACCAGTGCTTTAGCTCGTGCTTTTGTCATCGTCACACTCACCTCACGAATGCCCTCTGCTTCACGTTCATGAGGTAGCACGACAGTCGCCATGGCAACCGCGAATTGAAATATGTAGACGTTCCACTTTAAACTGAAACGTCACCTTGAGCACGGCCTGAGGGTGGAGTGACACATGCCATTTCGATGCCATCCGACAAAGCCCCACAAAGAGTGCAGGTGTCTGTTACCCAGGCAATTCTACTCAGTCCTTCTGAACAAAGTCCTTGGATGCAGTTCGCCCAAAGGTAGGCAAGAAGATCGGCGGGATGGCCTTCACATGGCTCTCTTCTATTATCTCACTTAAGTTTGACTATTTAAAGCTACCTCTTCTTACCCCTCCCCTTCTTAGTGGCCCACCCACCTAAAACAAGAGAGTCCGAATCTCGTCCAGCTTTCAACCATCAGGTCATAAGGATCAGACTCCCCAAGGCCCACGGGACATGTCTAAGCAGCACAGCTTGAACAGCACCACCTGAGCCAACGAAGCAAAAACTGAAAGAATAGGAAGGAAAAACCTAAGGTGACGACAATGGTAAGGGCGCACCACAGAGCAAGCCTGTGCCCAGCTGAGCATTCTCAAAGATTGCCGAGCCAACAAACCTCCCTGCTCACGCCTGGGATAGGGAAGAATCTCCTCAGTGCACTTCATCGGGCAACATGCCAAAACAAAGCAGGGACGCATCCAAAAAGCACAGACCAGAAATCTTAAAGCAAACAGGACAGGACACGACACAATGTAAAGAAAGTAGACTAACTGCACACCTACCAGTCCTTTGCGACTAATTGCGGTGATTGACTCAAGAAACTGTCCAGTTTGGACATGCAGAATTGCCGAAGTGGCAAGACTGCGTGACTGCACATTGCGTTTCAGAACGGCAATGAGGGTCAACCCGTTCTGGGCCTCGCCAAATTCTTTTGAAGTTCTTTTGGAGTTGGTTCTTATAGGACCGAGTGTGCCCTCATCATCACCAGCCCATGAACAACAAACGATTCAAGGAAAATTGTTCGATGTTGCGACTACAAAAGTGCGCAAAAACAACAGCGAAAGCGATGTTTCAACCCACAATTGCCCGATGTGTCATTCACATCCAAGCGTGCAAGAGCGAAAGCAGTGCGATTGGAACGTTCACATTGGTTGTTTTCATTTTTGTTTCCGTGCCACTCTACACGATCCATAGCACAGTTGCCCCCATTGCCACGCTGCATGCCAGTCGCGGCGTGGTGGCAGGTGACGAGGCATGGCATTGCACGCGCACACGGTCCGTGCCCGGTCGAAAGGGGCATCGCCTGGCGGAGCTTGCCTGCAACGTGCATGGTCTGGCTGCCGCCGCCCGGTCCTACTCACGACTTGGCGGGTGAACAATCACAACGGCCAGGCTACTAGTAGCTTCTAGCTATTAGTAGTAGTGCCCTTAGCTACTTAGCTACTAGTAGCGTCCTTGCTACTAGTAGCCATGCACATTTCTAAATCCACCTACCTTTTGTGCGGTCGTCTTTGTGATTCTGAGCGTCAAGGTGTGGGGGTGGGGGTTGCACGGGGTGGGTTTTTGTGGTGATCGGTTTGGATGTGGTTTTGCGAGTCTGGGAAGGATTGTGGTGGTGGTGGTGGGGGTGGTGGGGGTGGCGGTGGCGGTGGCGGTGGCGCTCCTGCTGCTGCTGCTGCTGCAGGTAAATAAACAACAACATAAACAACATACAACAACCACAACCACAACCACAGCCACAACCCCACCACCACCACCGCCACCACCACCACCACCACCTGTGAGAGTTCGTGCTTTCTACCATGTACATGACAAACAGCAGTGCATGGAGTCCAGGGATCATGTCTCAGGGTTTGCTCTAGCCTGTGGTCACCTGACCATTTTTTGAGAATGGTTTTTGACAGGTGCATTCGCGGTTAGGAGGTTCGAGGTTTGTTGAAGGTTCACGTCACGTTACTTTGTTGTTTTGGGACGTTCAGTGTTGGAGTAGAAACTTCATACCACCACCACCTCCACCACCACCACCACCTATGAAGATTAGCTTCAAGTGCGAAACTCGTGAACACTCCAAGAAACAAAAAACACCCGAACAAGTTCAACTCTCGCGTCCCTTCGACCGCGAACAGTCAAGTCGCCCACGCCCTTCCCGATCTCGTGACGCTCCTTTTCTACTGACTTGACCACAACGTGAATCGCTAAGGTGCCCACGCTGAAGCCTTGAGCCACGGTTTGTGGCGATTGGTACACTTTCGATTTGTCGCTCTGGGCGCGACATGCATTGTGGCGGCCAAAAACAAGCGAATGCTTGCGACCTCAACGAACATGCATACTGCAGTACGCTTCTTGATTTGTACGTGTATGCAAACATGAAGACAACTGTGTTTGACATGAAAGGCATGGCATGGCATCGAACGAGGTGTCGAACTTTCACAACAACACCACCACCACCACAGCAACAGCAACAGCAACAGCAACTGCAACAGCAACAGCAACAACAACAGCAACAACAACAACAACAACCACCACCACCACCGCCGCCACACCCACCACCGCAACCGCCACAACTACAATCACAGCACCCACCCCTGCAGCCTGCCCTACGACCACCTCTCCTCTATCTCCCATTCCCTCCTTCCCGTCTTCCTTCCCCCTTCCCCTTCCCCAGGTGTGGGCCCCTGGCCGGCTTTCGGGCATATGCCCTTAAATAGTTGCGAGAGCGCCCTCGATCAAACCCAGCCTTAACTCCTACAGTAAAAAGCCCTGGTGTGACCAAACAGTCTGGGGGAGAAAAACACGCATGTGCATGTCTGCCGTGTCTGCCTCGATGTCAAGCAAATGCAGCATGCACATCTCGGTCTTCAAAGATCACGCAAACTGTCCACCGTTCCCTGTGCATGCGGCACGCAGTTATGAAAAGCGCAAAGCCTATTTTTGAAGCCAAGGCTCCCATCTGCACTCCGAAATTTCCGAATCATCTGAGCACCTAAAAGAAGGCGGGGCCTCTCCAACTAACTTCTATTTGGAGTGAACAAAGCTAAGGAGTCCCGCTCTGATGACAGCAAGCCTCTCAACCTGGTACCTTGGAAAACGCAACGAAGCTTCAGCCTGAATCAGTGACGCAGTGGAGCGATGAGCTCGGCACGCTCGAAAAGCGGCGTCAGCACCAGCCTTTCAGAGTAAAAGTAGTGTAAACATATGCGATAAACGCACAGCTATCTGGGAGGCTCACACTAGCACCACGAGCCAAAAAACAAGGGCCCCAGTTCGCTTGGAAGCCTGCTCCTCATCAGCACAAAAGCAGGATAAAATGAGTATGAGGTCATTATGAGGTGGCTCGTTCCCAGCCATGCTGCTCTACATTCATGCTGTAGACGTTCCACTTGAGGCAGGAACCAGTCTGCGCTTTTTGCGCTCCATTTGCCATGCCTGCAGCAGGCGTTGTCTGTCAGAGCATTATACAATTAGCATTTCAGCTCAGTGCCTTGAGCCCACCTTTGGACTCCAACTCGGCGAGAACCTGTCAACTTCTATCTTTGTTACTAGTGGCGATGCCCTGGTTACTAGTAGCTTCTAGCTACAAACCAAGCCCACAATCAACTTTCAGGGATGCACCTGCTTCACAGTGGGCCGTCCATCTAGATCCATGTCCACTGGCACGACAATATCATACCATCTCCTGATTAGCAAACACTGGTGAACGTAGAGCTGACCGGATCGACACAGAGCCCAAATTCATGCAACCAATGTTCTGCTCATGTTCCCCATAATTGTTGGGTTGTTTGAGGGCGGCAGTGGCGGTAGCACCAGGTCGAAACAGCCCCTCTCTTGAACAATATGGTATCTTTGTACAAGGGGTGTTTGGTTTGAACACGTTATATAGTGGCAAAATGCTGAATGGGCACAAGTGGTGTCTGCGTCGAAGATATAGTAGCAACAGCCCCCCAAAAGAGCATGGAGTGTGCCACTGCACACCCAGAATGGCAACGTTCTTAGTCACCCCAGCCCAGGTTAGGTTAGCAATGCTTTTTGGCACTTTTCTTGAAGCTACCTCAAGCCACCAAAAGTTACATTGAATACCCCGGGCAACACCGGAGGATATGTTAGTTGGGGTCCTCAGTGCTGATGGGGTTAGGCTATTTTTGAAGAGAGTAATCAGTTGTTTATCTATGTTCCGTACTGACATGCAAAGTTCTTTGCTGCACCAGCTCTTCTCCTCGGAAACTTTTCCTGGAGTGATGTTGACGTAGCAGTTGCTGCCTCTTGACCTTCACGCTTCGCTTTGGTGACCTTTTGCCTTTCGCTGTTCAAGGTCGCGCCTTGCTCTCTTCCTTCGCTCTCGTCCCCCTTCAGCTTCAACCTACCTCATTTGAAGCTTGTCGGCCCGGGCAAATTACATGAGATAACAATCCCTTGGATCCATGCGAGCACGTATGACTGCGACCTGGGGGCAAGAATTGATTTTCTGGAGCAGACCGTGAGCTGACATGTAAGGTGCTGGCTCTGTACTTTTGGACCTTGGGATGTTGAGCCACTTCTTCTGGTACAAAAACGATGGGTCGAACACACAAGCACAAAAGACACATGCGCCCGTATGAACGCAAAAGTGCAGCAAGAAGCAAACCAAGCATCAGTGAGACGAAGCGAAAAAGAACCACGGTTAAATTTTTTGTTTTGTTGTACAAGAGCTCACGTTTATGCATCACAAGTCTGATGTGTTTTGCAAATGCGGCTCTCGGATGTCATTGTGGCTCACTTTGTGCAAGGCACAAGTTCATCTGGAATGTCATCGTTTCTGGTCTCTTCAAGCCGTTGCCTCGCATTATGTTGAGTCTATTCTGCTGCTTGGAAAGGGTTGGCCGAGCTGATCGCAGGATTTCTTCGAGCTCAGCCTTGGCACTTAGGACCCATAGGCCCATAGGCAAGGAGGGCGAAACGTAGTATAGGGCTGCTGCGATGACTTGCTGGACTTCCTTCTTGGGCTGTGGCCTTCAATGGTGCAAGCGAGACAAAAATGAACCAAAATCCAAACCACTCAAGTAAAGAAATGCTTGCTGGAAGGGTGACAAA